GAGACACAGCACACATCAGTGCCAAGCGAGTCCAGTGTGAGTGCAAGAGCAGCTTGTTGTTCTGCTTGCTTCAGAGTGCGAACATTGAACGCGGCCAGATTGAGGGGGCGTCGAGGCTTCAGGACTGATCTGGAGATTCCTGAAGATGTCGGCGCCATGTGACGAGCAGACGCTGCACGCAAAACCGATGCATGACGAACGGAGTCATCAGTCCTAAGTGCTGGGCCTACAAGGGGAGAGTTATTAATGGGGTGGGGAGAGGGGGAAGAAAAAGTATGTGAAGGAGAAAGAAGGGAGGCGTCAGCAGTAGCCTGTTTTCGCTTACCCGCCCTGCTGTATGCAGCAAGTAAGGCGACCCGGCTGATGGCACCACGCGACGGCCGATGTGGCATGAGAATATTGTTAGTTGTGTAGGTCATGGTTGTACGAGGGCTGGGATACTGCCAGGGCGCCCACACCTAGACAGGAGGACAATTAGGGTCCTCAACCAAAGCCTTTGGCTCAAAAGCCTAACCGCAAGGCAGCGGTGTTTGGCGGGAAATGCAAATGCATTACCATTTCTACGGAACAAGTCGCCACATGTTCCAACCCCCAACCTGGAGGGCCAGGAGACTGTGTTCGTCAGACCTCTAACCATTGACCAACCTGGTATGAGAGACTCTGTGAGTGTCGCGGGACACTCTCCAGTATAGCTCAATGGATCGCTGAGGTGCGCAAACCGTCACACCACGGTAAGGTCCAGTCTCTTCGTGACGGAGACTGAACAGCACCCATTTCAAATCGTACTATTGCCAAAAAAAGGTTATTCCTGCTTGGAAAAAGTAGAACCAGCATTTTTGGAATCTTATGTTTAACTGCAGCGGAGGTTATTCGCCTTGTTCATTCGTCTGGAGATGAAACCTACAAAACCAGGATGAGATGTACGATGTGACTACTGTGTTTCACTTACTTGCCGGGTTTAAAATTGTTTTTGTGAAGAACACTGGTCGCGAGCGGACGTCGTCTCGTCGAGTTGTATTGGAAGCCCATGCCCCGTTTACCTAGGACATCGGTAGAGTAAAATTTACCCAGTTTACTGTTTGAATGCATTCGGTTCGTCAGTACATTTCGTTATGACGTTGAGCTTTCGTGAATGTGTTCGTACTGTGTACGTATTCAGTAACATGTCACGCGAGTGGAAACTTGAGCAGACAATTTTCCTATATTTCACCCCAGACCCATAAACGGTTGTGCTTCTTGGAGTATTTGTTTAGATTACGCCTCCTCAAATAAAAAATAGCATACTAGTAAAAAACCATTCTAAGCAAATGATATTTTCAATCGAAACCACTAACTCTACAAAAATTCCAAATGACTTATTTGGCATTAGTGAATAGCAGTGCCAACCAAACACAGTCTTTTGGTAAGATTCTAGAGAATGTGAGAAACCTCTAAATATTCTGCGCTCTCTGTTGAGAGGGCGGTGAAGTATTAAAAGTTGACAATTCTAGTGATACGGTCTGTCCTCAGCGATAGATATACAAAGACCAACAAAATGATCTGTGGAAATTTACCTGTAAGGAATATCTGAATCAATTCCTTCTCCATTGGGTGAGACCTGCTTCATGTAAATGGTTAGCGCTCAACCATAAACAGCATTTAAAGAGGGGACGGGCTTGTCAAGTATTTATATGAGTTAAAACCAACGGATGAAAATCTTCAGAACAAATAAAGATGTTCGTTATAATAAGGAACACTAGACTATTTAGTTTCCGTTGAGATCATACCTCTACATAACCTGTATCGCGTACTACCATTTTAGTCACCACTGAGCCGAGGACTGTTTTATTTGGAAGGAGGAGGATATAATCTTGGAAGGAATTAAAGCGATCCTTCCAAAGTAAAGTCAGTTGATCTGAAGTCATCCCTAGTCGTCAGTTGAATGTCTCGGTTCACTTTCTATGAACGAGCAACACTGTTTCATGCGTTCCTTCATCGTGAACACAACCGGTTTGAATTTCCAGTATTCCAGTTTCTTGATCACCACATTGATACGTGTAACTGTTCCAAACTATAATTCTAAGCCAAAAAAGAAATCGAATCGTCTGACATAGGCTGTGTGATCTCACCTTAAGAAAGTGGGAGAGTGGTTTCGCTTGACTATATTTTAGGCTCTCCTGGCAGCGCCGGTACGTATTCAGAGGTCAGCGCAATAAACTTTGTCTGTTAAATGAACTTCTGCCTGAATGTGCATTGTGTCTACTTAATAGATACCTGTTGTCCTACTCAATTCATTTTGGCTAGTTCACAGAGCGATGATTTTTGCCGGCTTTTTCGCAGCGTCTTTACTTGGGGCAAGTCAACTTCCCGATCCAGATTGACATTTGATTGACTACTAGTGGCAGATGCTAAGATTTACAAATCTTAACGCCCGTAAATGCAATTTCGTAATTACTGCATCGGATTTCGACTATCCGTCTTGTAACAAGCCGACCGAGATTGAGAGTTAACCTGGCCCTCAGGAATGGGACACAGATTTGGTCTTCCAAAGGATAATAATTTTTAAAAGCCCCCGTACCGCGTGTTAAATGATAGCCTATTGACGCAGTATCAAATTAGTTTAATTGTGCAGGTGATTTGCTTCTCTTGCACGTTCTGTTTCTTCATGATCTTGGTAAACGTCCGTGGGTGTGCTGAGCCCACTTGAGGCCCAGCCTTCCAAATCATTTTCGCCTTCTTCCATATCCTCAAATTAATCCTCCGAAAATACTGACAGTTTTTTTAACACTTAACCTCCTGTACTGTGCCCAATCGTCTGAATCCGCGAATTTGTTTCACCGGTTACTTACTCACTATAGACCTACAGAAATCACTGTCACCTAACTTTTCCTCTTCTGGTTTCTATCAAAGTGCTTTACTTTAGCACGTTAACATGTTACTTCTACTGTTCATGAATCGCTCCGTTCATAGCACTGATTGTATCCGTTGCTGTCTTACTTCTGTTTCTACTATCAACTACCGGTTGAATAACATCGGTCTATGAGAAAATAATTCCCAGCGTCCCACAAGGTGACAGGCTGTCTAAACCATGCACTTTTGTAATCCAGAGTCGGTTTTCTTGGCTGATGCAGGAACCCCAATTCAACTCTCACTGACTCTAACCCTTTCCCGAAGAGACGACTGTTAGTCGTCCCCTGGATGAGCGCTTTAGAGATAGATTCCCAGTCACGGGATACCATTTCGCAAGGGGGCCTAGCTGGATTCCTACATATTGATCACACTCAAAACTTGGGCCAACTCTTCAGATTCAATAGTCTTATGTCTACATTCTGCTTGATTGGGAACCAAATACGAGTAGCGCAAACAGGGGAATATATACGCGCAAACCTTGCCTTACCGCATGAATACTACACTAGCTCGGCTCCCGTACAGTTTGCTGTATATCCAAATATACACTCGAGTCCTACGTCCTTGTTCATACGATTTGCTAACTGACGCCTGTCAGCACGATTAGGCAGTGCTTGTGTTTAATCCGCAGTGGGCGCCTACATATCCAGAAGGCGTTGAACTGTGATAGAAGAAACGGAGAGTCGTGTCATTGTGCTTGAGGAGAAAATATGATACGAACGAAAAGACAAGACTCCGGTCTGCAGCCTCCAGCTTACCGCAGAAGTGCTCTATAGGGTTGGTCACCTTTTGGACTCAAAACGATGAGCAACAGATACTAAGCCAGATCTAAGAGCATTGATGTTCCAATCTATAAACTTTCGCCAATAACGCTAAACCAACTACCGCCGATAGATCAGATTTTTATGGTGCGCACTTTCAGCGCTATAGTTGACCCGATTGACTCGTAAAACCCCAGTCGGGAGCTGAACACAGACGCGTACGTTGGATCCCTAAAGATTTCCATGATCCGCAAACCTGTTTGTATATTCAAGTACTGTAATGTATTCGTGCAATAGTTTTGAAAGCTCGTATCATCTCGTCAATAAACGCTTAGGAGGATTGTGGTAAATTGCGTTACCAAACATTCTGAAGACAAACTTACGGTCTTCTAGGAGTTCTGAAGTCTAAAATCTACCCTATCCATTGTAGCATATCCCCAGTGGCTGAAAGTCTTACAGAACCAGACGACAAATACCAATTAGTTAGCGCCTACTACTCTATCTTAAATGCTATTCGACAGATGCTCAGAAAGTTCACACGACCTGGTGGACAGACTGCTCCGTTTGCTCGGGTCACTCACCAATCACACAAAAGCTTCCACTCGTGTCCGCGATGTGAACGGCCACAAGCCAAGTGAGCTTGTGGTAAAGTGACTCGGTTGTGAGTGAATTTGTGAGTGAACTCAATCACAAAATGAATGTTTTCATTTAACAATGGGCGAATGCGAATAATCTGTAATTTCCCGGGGTTGTTCGCCTCTCAGAAGGGAAGTTTTATTGTTCGTACCAAGTCGGGTTTACAAGGAATTTTTTCTGTCGGATGAGGTGATCTCCTGGTTTGGAATGTTGTTGGTTTTTCACGACAGAGAATGCTCCGAGATGGGCTTGCCCAAACGGGTTCAACAATAGATACCTAATTGTTCTACTCCAATTTATTTCTCATTCCAGCGAATGAAAATTGGTTACATATCGAGACAGTATTTCTACGTCCCACAGTCCGGTGATCACCTGTTTACCTCATACAGCAGATCACGGCAACTGCTGCGGCTGGAAGCAAGTTGTGGTTGCCAGGTCAATCTGATTCATCCAGGAGATCCCCGGGCAGTATATTGTCCAATCGAATACAGAACAATTGAAGTAGTGTATGAACAAGAATCCGGGAAACCGGATTTGTTCGTCCAGAAGTTGAATTCGTTGCTTGACGCACGACGTCCAATGGCACGACTTGTAGCGACAGTGGTTCGACAAATCAATGGAGTTGAATACACAATGACGGTGGATGATGCAAAAGAGTTGTTGAACTGTTCTGTGCGACCAAGATACCGGGACGTATTGGGAATCATTCTCTCGGCTGGAAGACATTCCACTGGATGCCGCTAGCATGCACATTCTCTCATTCTATCCACATATTCAGCCTCCTGATTTATCTTCCTTCTGTACTTTCTATCAGTTTTTTCCACGCTCGTTAACCTCGAATATTTGTTCCTGCAAGAACTAGATTCTAAAAGCTCGTCTTAAAACTTATTCGCTATTGTCTTATTCATTTTGCATTTCTTTGTGTCCCACTATATCTAAGTTTTTGCAGTGTGAATGAAATTATTGGATACACTCAAAATGGTTTCAGCGAAGCCAGTATTCGTGACACTAGTACTATGCAAGATAAATAATCATGCTTGGACTAGGGAAAGGTGAGATTTTGCGGTTCATACCAGAGACACTGATAGCAGGGCAACCAGCTCAGCCAGTGCAATTTTACTCATGTATTTTTTAAACGTGCGTGAGATACATGCTACCCTAGAATGAGTTCCTCGTCCGATCAATTCGGCTGGATGTGTGGCGAAATTCTGTTTCATAGATCGGTTGAGCCGATATTCAGGATTTCCAAGTAGTTATTCCGTAAGCGGTGAAATTGGATGGATCTAACTTAACCGGCTGTTCGCCATCGGTTCGTCCTTGTTTAGTCCTCAGCACCACTTCAATACAACATTTTGAAACTTGAACCCAACCTGTTGATGAATGGATTTCAAAATGACGGCTTCATCCATACCACGGCTGCTACCAGGCTCCAAGGCATTTTGTGCTTTTTTCCACACAAAAATCAGATAAGGCCTCAAAGTGTGGATGTAGAACTAACTGTTTTGCAGTGGGCGAATAAACTTATGAATAAGGTCGAGAACGGACAGCAACTTCACCGGGAAGCTAGAAAATCACGTTGGAAAAGTGCGTCCTGGATTCCATAAATTTCGATATGACGTCATTCTGGTCCTGCAAGTCCAGTTTGGCTTGCGTGCAACTGCCGTGCACATCCGAATATGGCGAGGGAACTCTGATAGTATTTAATCCAAATGTGGTTTCTGAACTTAAAAGCGACGAGTTGGTGAGCTCGCAGTCCGGACGACAAAACATCGCTCCTGCTAGTCAGGTAGATGTACGCGGATGGTGGCGTCTTCTGTGCATTGCATTCAACACAATACTGCTACTATATTCAGCATTCAAAAATACTCATCTTGCAGGCCCGTTTAGTTGGGGGTCTTGTGCGTCATTCTAAATGAGCTTCTTGAATACAGAAAGTATCCAACAGTGTGGATTACTCCGCGCCAAACAATCGCGGTCAGATTTTCAGATTATCAAAGCTTGGAGTAGACCGCATTTTAATGCATCGACATAGAACATCGCATTTGCTAATGCTGCGAACATATATGTTGAGTTGGTATGTTGGTGAATTGCCGTAACATGCACGTGATTGTCCATAGGATCACTAGAAGCATTAGGCTTCGTTCAGTAACCTGCCAGTTTAAGCAAGGTATAAAATAATTCAGAGCTGGATATCCTCACGTTTGTTTAGGGAAACATGCAGATCAGCAACAGTCATCCAAGGGGCCTCACCTATCCAACTCAATGTACATTGAAGAAGCATCGAATAGGAAAGGTTTTCGAGAAATGCACCGATTTGCAAATCAGATGGGTTTTCACGAGAGACTGAAATGAATCTCTCCTTTGTGGTATCATTCGACTTAATGTGCTGAACGCAGGCCACCTCATGTTTCAGTGGACACGATATTCCAGATATCGCAGTATATTTTCATAAAGGAAATTACTCAGAAGTTTGCTGAAAACTGTTCGGACAGTCAACAAGATGAGCACCACCGTGCCCTGCAAGTGTCCCTAGTGTTTCATGGGGAATATGGATCTGAAGTTATGGTGAGTCTGATATTGACGTGTACGGTCAAAAGGAGCAGTCAACTATGAGAAGCAGACAATGGAAAGAAGTGTGATTGTAGCCTGCCGAGTTTCAGTAACACAGACAAACCCAATGGACGTCGTTACGAACTAAGCCAACAATATCCCTCCCATGTGAACTGGTAGCTACCACTTCCTGATTGTACTCCACCGTTTATATCTATG